GTACAGGGAAATGTCTTAAAGTAAAATTAAAAAAAAAAATTATTAAATTAAAATTGTATTTTACACAACTTTGCTGTTTCTTTCCTAAGCTCGTTTATTTCCAAGCATCCCTTCTTGAAATTCTTTACGCATACTCGATTGAGGCAGCGCCTCTTCAGTCACAGTAATATTCTCCAGCCATAATCGACGCCGGGTTTCTTTATTGCGGTAGGGGACTACAAATGAGAGGTATTATCATAACTGCCAGGCCTTCAAAATAGAGCATTTTGAAAATTGTTTAAAATTCGAAATTCAAAATAAATTATTTAATTTTATTTCTGAGGAAAATGATATACACATGTATGTAGATCCCGAAGCCACAGTTACTAGAAATATATATTTTACATATATATTTTTTGTAATGCTAAAATCGAATCTTCAGTTAGTGTTTAACCTCACTCTTTAAAGCCCCAAATTGTGTAGGACAGTGACCACTTATGGGTCGTCACCGCAAAAAAAAAACATTTTTTTTTCTTTGCTGGCGATGGTCAACTCCTTCTGCTTTGTCTTTTTTAATACCTATTCTTTCCCTTGCCTTTCCCCCTTCTACCCTGTTCTACCTTCTTTTCCATTTCCCCTTCTACCCTTTCTTCAAACTGCTTTTCTTGCCTCCTGTCCACGCAATTGACCAAAAGTCAACGTGTGTGTTTGTGTGTGTGTGTGTCTGTTTCTATGGGCCTTTGTGTCTGTCTGTCTGTCTGTCTCTGTCTGCCCTGTGTTGTCTCCTTCGCATGTGTCCGTCCGTCTGCCTGTCTGTCCGTCTGTCCGTTGTCTTCTTTCCATCTGTCCGTCCATCCAACTCTAACTTGACGGACAGGCAGGCCGCCGTCCGTGCGGTTGTTGAGCTCTGCTCGGTGCCTCTCGCTCTCCCCCCCCCCTTCATTGCGTCTCTCTTCATTCTATTTTCTGCTCTCTCTCTCTCTCGCTCTTTCTCTGTGGACACCTGGACTCCTCTGGCACACACTGTTGCATGTTCTGGGCTCTCGCTGCGGTCGCCTTCGGTCTCCTTCGATTACATTGCGTGAGCAGCTCAAAGAAGTTGATGATGGAGTATGAGGGAAAGGAGAAAGAGTAGAAGGGAAAGGGAAGGAGCACGTACGAAGAGGTGGATGAAGAGCAGGCTGCAGAGAGATGATGATGATGAGCAGGCTGTAGAGAGATGATGATGATGAGCAGGAGTAAAGTGATGGAATGAGTACCCAGAGCCGCACTTTATCCTCGATTCTTATTGTTCTTTTGGCTCTCTTCTTGTTGTTGTTTTCTTCATTCTGCTGCTTGCCTTTGTGCTACCTGCATTTGAGCCTCTCTTTAGGCCTCGGTAATAAGATAAACCAAACCATTGTCCAAGGGATCTGATCTGTGATATTTTTCTGCCAAGAGGAGACGCGGGCTATTAAGAATCTCTCCAAGATCGGCGGGATTACTATATCCAAAGTGGGTATTCGAGGGCAAGGGAATTTTTCTCTCTAGAATTTCCCCGCTTATGCTGTTAAAGTCTCTCTCTGTTAATGTGCCCCGTGTATACCCCCCAACCTCTTTGGCTGCTTTGGCTCTTTTCTGCAGCGACTTCTTGGGCCTCTTCTACCTCTTCTCTTTTCCCCTCTGCGCTCCTTCACTTTCTGGCTTAATCTGTTTGTAATTCAAGCCCCCGAGCCATTCCCATTCCCAATGCCAATCCCAAACCCAAACCCAAACCCAAGATCATGTTTTGGTTTTTAATTTCGTCTTTGAACTCCTCTCCCTCTTCCCGCTATTCCCGTTCCCCTTCTTCTTTGGGTTGGTTCTTCAACTTCTTTTTTTTTATTCTGATCCGAAACTCTTTTTCTTCTTCTTCCACTCCCACTTCTTCTGTTTCTTCTTGTTCTTCAGCTTCTGTTGATGTTTTTTGTTTTCTTTTTTGTGTTTGGGTTCTTTAGGAGTTTGTTTTTTATTGTTGTTGGGGGTTTCAATTGTTCTTTGATTTTCAATCAGATCAAGAGATCAAAAATCAAATTTGGAATCGATTTCTCTGTGTGCTCTTGGTTGTGGCAGGGGTGAGTGGTGTGGCAAAGAGGGTAAACTTGAGCTGAAAATCTATTTTTAATAAAAAAAGTCGATGGAGCGTGCTGGCAATCGGGTGGAGAGGGAATATCTGATATGTAAAGAAGGTAAAGGTTAGGATTTAATTGAAATTATTTTGAAGGCTACTGAAAGTTGACTTTAATCTTCTTAGGGGATAAGTCCTGGACTGTGGACCCCTAGTAAGAGTCTTACAGATTCCTCTCGCTGCTCCACTGGCTAACAGCTCTTCGGGTCTTCTTTAGCCTTCTTTTATTTGAAAGTTGATTCTTATTTCTGTGTATTCAAAGCGCTTTCTCTGGTTGGAAATATTTATAGGGTAAGGCCATTCCACCCCCCGCCACAAGGAGCGTAAGTTCTAGAACGTTTCTTGGAAAACGTTCCTTATTTAATAATTCTCCAGTGATTTTTCGCACGTTTCTTATCGTAAAAAAAACCTTTCGGTACTCTTCTTAAACCATCTCCTTTTTTCCCTCTCTGCAGAAGTCTTCCCACTAAATCTTTTTCTTCTTTGCCTTTTAATTAATTCTAACTATTTTTATCCCTCTATTGCAGATTAATTTACTTCGAAATTGAAAGAAATAACTACCACAAGAGCGAGTTAATTATAAAAGATAAATCTAATGAAGGTAAGTAAATTAATAGTTAAAGATAATACAAATTATTGTCTAAGGAAGTTGTCTTATGGGGGGCAGTATGGGGGGGCATGGTATCCTCCCACTCCCTGGGGTCATTCCGTATGCGCCTCGCGTACATTGACATCCGCCGTGAAGGAGGATGGGGATGGCTCCTGTGCTGCCGCCAGACGCCTCCAAATGAGTCTTTAATCAAAAATGAAATATAAAAAAAGGAAGAGCGTGAATGCAGAAGGGAGTAGGCGGAGTAGAGGGAGTAGCAGCACAAAATCTGTTGAAAAATCACTGAAAAAATCATAAAATTTTCACTTCTTTCTGATGGCAACAACAACGAAAAAAATTGTCATGCAAAAAGCGTTCCCAAAAGAGTTTCACAGCAGCCAGCTTTTGGTCAGCCGAAGAACATGTTTTCTTGTAAGGAGAAAAAAAAACAGGTTATAGGTATCGTGTAGGGAGGGGATAGTGCGGGGGAGAGATCAAAAGGTGTGCTGCTTGCCAGAAAGAGAGAGAGGTGAGGCGAAGAGAGAGAGAGAGGATCTAAAAGAAACGGCAGCCAAAAGCACACATGAAGAGCGAGCGGGAGAGCGAGCGAGCGAGTTGGCTGCCAAAGAACTCAAGAGATTTCAATGCAGAGACTCCCCCTCCATCCACCCAACACCTTTCGCAGCTACAAACAAAAACTGGTTAAAAGTAGATCGTTAAACCGCAATTCGAAAAGCGCCACACAGACACACCACACACACACACACACACACACACACACACACACACACACGAACGAAGCTTCGAACTTGACGAAGCGGCGAACTTGTTGCGTGTGTCTTGCAGCATATCGCCCCTAAGTCGCAAGCGGTTTTTCTCCTTCCATCCATCTTCAAGTCTTTCTATCCCTCTTCCACTATCCATTCCCCTGCCACATACAATATTTGCATCTCACTCTAACTTCATTGGCGCTGCTGCTGCTGCGGCTGGGGCAGGCACACTGCTTGCTTGCTGGCTGGCTAACTTGTTGCCGTTTTAACTGGTTTTTCGACGCTGGAAACTTGTTAACAAAACGGGTTCAAGAAACGCCAGAAAAACGCACGCTGTTGAGCAGTTCGAAAAACGCGCCGGAAACGCGTCAAATCGCTGGGCAAAGGTTCAACATGTTGCTAGCCGTTTCCATTTCGAAATGTTAGCAGAGAGCGGCCACTGTTATGTTAGTGTATTTCGCTCTCACTTCGAATGTTATGCCCTCGTTTGCTGTAATTATTCGGCTATGCTCAGCTCGGCTGTGCAAGCAACATGTTTCCAGTGGCATGCAACAGACGATTATATATATGAAAAATATATTTTATTTTCATTTGTCATATTTATTCTCAAAAACATAATCATAATTATTAATTTGAACGACGACGCCAATTTGTTGCTGTGCTCAGAAAGAGAGCGCAAAAATGAGTCTTAACCGGCCTTGGCAAGGTGTAAACAGTGAAGCAAAATAGTCCCCGCAACAAAACATGCGCCTGCGAACCACACCTCAACATGTTTGATCGTTGCCCTTGCCGGCAACACGTTTTCCAGCAACACGCTTTCTAGCAACATTCACGAGCGGGGGGCAAAGTAAAAATAAAAAAAATAAACCGTCGGGTCGAACGGACGCGCACACGAATCTCGTGAAAACCTAAAATCCACCGTTGCCGTCGCCGCGTTGTCGTCGCAGTCGCTGTTTTTCGTAAAAATAATTCAAAATATCAAAAAATAACGAAATATTCAATGCAATTATTGTTTACAATTAAAACAGCAAAATTAATGAGAATTGTGCACAAATAATAATGGAAATAATAATGCAATAATTGAAAAAGGCAGCAACAATTCAGAAGTGCAAGAGTGTGTGCTTGTGCTCGTGTGTGTGTGTGTAAACAACAGTTAATAAACAACAACGCAAGAGTAGAAGAAGCAGATAAAAACCAAGACGAAGGAGTGCTCAAAAAGGAGAAGAAGAAAAAAAAAAACCAAACCCCGCAGCAGCCAGGCACAGCGCAGTCAGCGCCGACGCCGGCTTGGCATCATTAGTTGGCGACACGATCAGCAGCAGCAGCAGCATCAGCAGCGCAGCAGCGTGCCCTCTCGCTCTAGCGCACGCATCTTGCTGCTTACCTGTCAAACAGGTTTCTTTTTCTTACGTCGCGCGCGCGTTTATATCGGATCGGTGTATCGCTGCATCGTTGTATGTGTGTGTGCGAGTGTGTGTGCGCTTCTTGGAAACCTTTCAAGCGTCAGGCGGCTCGGCGGCACTCTTCAGCTCCTCTCGCAGCTCTTTTGCAATGCAGCTACGACACTAACAACAAAAGCAACAACAAAAACAACTAGAAAAGAAGTGTGTAACGGAGAAGAAGAAGTGTGGTGTGTGCAAAGCAGTGGCTGAAAAAAAAAATGCTTCAAGACCAGGCCTAAATCGTGTGTTGCATAGTGTTGCATTTTCGACATATGATTTTCTTGGTTTTTTCTTGATTTCTTCCTCCGATTTTTGTTGCAATATTCCCAAAAAAAAAAAAAATATATAATCAAGAAACCAAAAACCATGTCGCGCAAAAACAAAAGCTAAAACAAAGAGGAGTGTGTAACGGTAGAGAGAGTGTGAGAGACGGAGAGAGTGGAGTGGAGTGGTAACAGCCGTTACCTTAAGGGTCGAGCGCGGGAGTAGTGGAATAGGAGCAGCAGCAGCTGGAAGCTGTAGTGCGGAGTGGGAGCAAAAAAGTTAAAATAGCAAAAAAAAAACAAAACTGAAAGAATAGCAACCAAAAACTAAGCAATCTGCGTACAAGAACAAAACGAAGAAGGATAACAAAACCCACACACACACACACACACAGAAATCTCAACCGAAAAACAGGAAGAAGAGAACGAACAGCTACAAGGAACAGCTACACAATGAGGAGAGCAGCAATAGAAACCGAAAGAGAAGCGACGGAGATGGCAGCAACAACAACAACAACAACAACAACAACAACGAGCCGTAACATAAACGGCCAAGCAGGGCGGAGAAGTGGAACAGCGCTAACTGTTTGTCACTTTTTCACGATCATCGGTAAGTGTCTTTTGTGCGCTTGTACCCTGCAATTAGTGCAGCAGTATTTATGGGGTATATGCAATCCGCGGAGAGATTACGGGGAGGAAAGAAAAGTAGAGGGTAAAGTAAAGCAAAGGTAAATTCTAATGGGTCATAGGGGTAACTAAGAAGAAGAGGAAGCCGGGGGATTGGGAAAAATAAAAAGAATAAAATGTTACAAGACAGAAAAGGTTCGCTCTTGGAAAGGGTAACAACGCTGCGACACCGCCGAACGTAGTCTTGTCTTTGCGTTTGGTTTATTTTTGCGCACTTAATTTTGCTGCACCGTCAAATGCTGATAAGCCAGCGACAGATCATGCAAAGGTCGCTGTCTCAGAGGGGGGAATCAAAATTCACGAAAATAAACAAATATTTGGGCATAAGTAAATTTGATAAGGAATGGGGAAGATTATTGCGAACCAAGAATTCGTTCTTGGAAAGAAGTGTTCTTTGAGCACAAGATAAAAGTCCATAAAGCCACAATAAATAAGTAAAATAATTCACAAAAATAAATGGGAAGTTTATTCATTTATTTTATTTATTTATTTTGAAAGATTTGCAAGTACTTCTGTGTGATTATAAATTCGAAGAAATTCGAAGAAAATGTTAACGTTTTATGGCAAGTCAACAATCCTTAAATTTGTCTTCTAAATGTTGAGGCAAAAATACCATTCTCTTTTGAGAATTGAATTTGAATTGAATTTTCATCAAATATCTCAGTCAAATGTGTTCCTAAGTTCTTTCATGAAATCTCCCTCAAGTATCCACTCCAATATAAGCTCTCTTTTAATCCATAGGATATCTGCTTCAATTATCTTCCAGATTCTAGAACATAATCTCTGCTTAATCTTCATTTTATCATCGCATTTCAATTAAAAGTTGAGCTGCCTTTACGGTTCCAGCGTTCCATCGTTCCATCGCTCCCATCCTTCCCTTGTTGTTTCTTTTGTTATTTTTTACTAACTTTTGGTTTTACTTTAACGCCGGATTTTGTTTATGACAGGTGTCTGCGCACCGCCCCCCTCTTTAGATAACTCCACCCGCTTTATCACCCTTACAACACTTATGCCATGTGCCGCAGCACCCCCCTCCCAGCCATTTGTTGGGTTTGGGTGGTTTATCCTGCGGGGCGTTTAGCGCCTGTCCCCATCGTCGCCCTTTTGCTCTGTTGTCACCTCTCTCTGCAAGCGTCACTTTGGGGTTTTTTGTTGCTGTCTGTTGTTGTTTCTGTTGCTGTTGCTGCTTCTGTGTTGTTCTTGACGTCAGCGTAAAGTTTATTTTTTCCTATCTTTCAGCGTGCATCCATATCCATCCCTACACCCCACTATTATCTACTCTCTCTCTCTCTGTGGAAACCCCCCCATAGCCTGCCTCTAGAACCCTCTTTTACCCTCCGCTCTGTGGAGCCTCTAGAATCTGTCAATTGACAGCATTTACCGTTTGACAGGAGAGCGCCTGGCCGCCGTCCCTCTGCTGAACTTGAAAAAAAAACCGAAGTGATATGGGGGGAGAATTATGTGGATTGGAGTGGCGAATGGATGTGGACGGGGGGTGGCATGCATTTAGTGGGGGCACGGACTGTGTGGCACGAAAACTTTACTTTGGCACGCTTCTGGCATAAGTTTTTCCTCCGTTCTGATATCATTTGGGCTTACAAAATGCTTTTTAATGCCTTTAAAAATCAACCAAATAGCGGGGAAACTTTTGCACAACTATCGTGAGTGTTGGAGAGGGGGTAGGAGGGAAGTGTGTATGAAAGGTGCCACAGAAAGTGTCGAAATGGGGGCGGGGGTTCAGAATTACATAGATGTGTATATAATCCCCCTGCCATCATTTGAATCACTCAATCGGTTTCGTTTCTCAATTTGTCGTGTGATTAGTGCTGCCCCCCTCGCCCTCGCCCTCTTCCCACTTCCTTCTCTAGAGGGAATATATATACGAACTCTATTAAGTTTATGGCAGCCCTTCCATTTGTGTGTTCTCTGTGTGTGTGTGGTAATCATTTAATAAATAAAACGTGTTGATTTGACATCTTAATTGGGGGTTTGACAGTAGGTTTTTATTGTGGTTTTTGCCGCTCATAAAAGGGGGGAAGCCAAAGCCAAAGCCAAAGAACAAACTGCCTGCCTGCCTGCCTGCCTGCCTGCCTGCCTGTCAACGCCTGACATTAGAACTTTGGAGAGCGTCGCTGAAGAACAAATCAATGAACTCTCTCGGGAGGCAAGAAAGCTTTGCCTCTGCTTGCCTCTGGTGGCAAATTATTAGATTTGTTAGCAGGGAGGGGATGGGGGTTGTGACTGCGGCTGTGACTGTGGCTGTGGCTGGGAGGTTCAAGGAATTAAAAATACATTAAAAGTTTTTTTTTGTGTGGAAACAAGAGATTATAAGTATAAGGGGAAGGGGAGAAAGAAAGGGAGAGAGAGAGAGAGCAATGGACCTGGAGAGCTTAAATCAGGGTAAAAACGAGGCATAGCGGATTTTTGGGGAAATTTCTGTATTTCTTGAAGAATTCTTCAACCGATTTAATTCCTATATCAAATCTACTTTTTTCTCACACATTTAAAAACCATAAAGGAACACTTTTTTGTGGTTAAGGAAATCTCCATTAATACGAGTATTTTCTCATTAGATTTTCATGCAAAAAAATACCCTCGGAAAAGCCTCTTTCTTGTGCTGCTTAATTTTACTGCTTCCTTTGCGCCCGTGAAGTGCCTTCCAATTTGGTTTTGGATTTTTACTTGGAAAATTTCCATGTCATGTGTTGTGCTCTGTGTTGTGTTGAGTGGTGCAATGTGGAAATGCTTAAGGAAAATAAGGACAATAACCACAACAGCCACAGTGCCTAGGAACAGAACCGAACAGAACAATCAAGGATATGCTTAAGGATGGCGCGGTTCCAAGAAGGTTTACTAACGCGCTCGCTCTCTCTCTCTCTCCCACTCTCCCTCCCACTCTCTCTCTCTCTCTCTTCTCACACTTGTCCTACCTCTCCTTGTCCCTCCCTCCTTAGTGCTGTGTGTTTGCCATGCGTTTTTCCTACGTCGTTTTTTTTATGAGTATTTTCTTGCCTTTTGGTTTTTATTGTGTTTGCGTTTTGATGTTGTTTTATTTATGCCGTTCGTCGTCTACCTGCTGCTTGTCGGTGTGGTGTCCCTCTCTTTCGCTTTCTCTCTTTCTCCCTCTTTGCAGCTCCCTTGCCTTGCCCTCCTCCGCTGGGTTTCCCCTGCAGCCCATTTTCCCTTTGAGTTTTTCCACAATCATTTCATTTCCTGGTGCCTAGTGCCTGGTGCCTGCCGCTGCCGGCACCCAAAAACTTCATTCTCTATCGCCCCCTCGCGCACTCCTCTCACGCTCTGCTCTAGCTCCTTTCTCGCCAGCCAACCTTTTTCCCCTATCAACCGCTCTTGACGTGTTTTTAGCGCGTGAATTATGATTGTGGCTTAGTTTTTTTTCTCTCACTTTTCCCGGAGTTGTTGTTCTGCCAGGCACAGAGGAGAGGGATAGTAAGAGAGGGAGGGAGAGAGTGCAGGGAGATGCAGAGAAATATCTGCAACTGCTGCAAGTTTGAAATTAAAATAAATTAAACAAATATTTTGTTTGTTTCCAAAACACTTTTTCCATCCACGTGCAAAATATTCAGCGACGTGTGCGGGAATATTCTGCCACAGGCCACAACCAGCAGAAAAGGAGAAACACAGCGACAGAGACAGAGGAAGGATATAGCAACAGCTGCAGCAGAGACACAAAACAACAAAAACACCCAAAATGCAGAGCGCAGAGGATTCCTGGCAAATGGGGGAAATGAGAAACGAGGCGCAAAAAGCAAAATTTATTCACAATTCTGCATTTGGAAAATCAAAGTTTCGGCTGAGGCAGGGGTTAAGAGAGGGATAGAGATAGAGATAGTGTGTGGGGTTATAGGGGAGGGGTGCGGGGTAAAGATAAATCAAAATAGGTGTAGGCGCTTCAAAGAGAACGATTTTAACATAAATAATTGGTTTAGTTTTACGCTAGTTCTTTGAGAGGTTCTCCTACCGCCAGGAAAATGTTTTCGGTAAAAATACCACAAAATTCTAGAAAATATCAGCAAATTACAATAACTTATCAGAAAAAAAAATAATGGAAAATAAAATGGGAATACTTAAATTAATCTTCAAATATTTGGTTTTATATTTTTCTTACTTTTAAAGAACTTTCTGAGCATGGGAATATCCCTTCCATATACCTCTCTTTAAATATAACCTTCTTTTAATTTTATTTGCCCAACTAAAAGGTATGCAACATTGCCCTCCCTTTGATAGGATATTCCCCCGTCACCCATATAGATCCATTCAAAGTTTAGTTTTTTTTTTTTTTTGTGAAATTTTTGTTTAGTTTTTTGATGATGTTTTTTTGGCATATGGAATGGAATTTATGGCACGCACGGGGGAGCGAATGTATCTCTCTCAATCTGCCGCTATTTGTAGCTCTATATTTGTATTTGTGTGCATGCCCCCCACCTCTTTATCTGCTGCTGCCTCTGTGGGCCCTACCTTCCCCTGCCTCCGGCGCATGTGGATGAGGTGGGTGGCGGTTGAAAACGCGCAGCTGTTTAAACAACTACTCCAACAGCCGAAATGCAGCTAAAAAACCAGATAACAAAAAGAAAGAGAATTCCTCAACATTTAAACGAGTATCTCACAGATACAGCAACACACGTACATGCAGATACGCAGATACAGATACCAAATGCAGATACCCCCTACAAAATAAATGCAATAAAAATTCAATAACATTTGCTGACTGACGCCAAAGTTTTTAACCCCTCAATGGTGGCCTCGTCATTGGTTTTTAGTTTTTGGGTTTTTGGTTTTACACAAAAATTGTAGCGCCAACATTTGCAGAATATGAAAATGAATTTGAATATACTCGCGTCGTATATCGTCGTATTTTTCTATATTTTTACCGTTGCGAGGGCAATGATTTTTACCTTTTCGCGC